AAGTGCTCCAGCATCTGTGCCTGCAAGCAGCCCAGCTGTCACTCCCAGCAGCGTGCCAGCGGCCAGCCCAGTGGTGTCACCTACAGGGGTGCCATCATCGGTGCCCTCCACGGTGCCGGCTGCATCCCCAACCAGCGTGCCAACCAGCACACCTGCGTTGGCTCCCACAGCAGCGCCAGCCACGGTTCCTACGGCAGCGCCAGCAGTTGTGCCTACAGTGGCTCCGGCCAGTAGTCCTGTTGCAGTCCCAGTGGCTTCCCCGACTGCAGCACCGGCAGCTGTTCCAGCAACAGCACCAGCAATGGTGCCAGCAACAGCACCGGGCACGCTGCCTGCAAGTGCTCCCGCGTCCGTGCCTGCTAGTGCTCCAGCATCCGTGCCTGCAAGCAGCCCAGCTGTGACTCCCAGCACTGTGCCAGCAAGTAGCCCAGTTGTGTCACCCACAGGGGTGCCATCATCAGTGCCCTCGACGGTGCCAGCTGCGGCTCCAACCAGCGTGCCAACTAGCACACCTGCGTTGGCTCCCACAGCAGCGCCAGCCACGGTTCCGACAGCAGCACCGGCAGTTGTGCCCACGGCAGTTCCAGCCAGCAGCCCTGTGGCAGTCCCAGTAGCTTCTGCGACTGCAGCACCAGCGACTGTTCCAGCAACAGCACCAGCCACGGTGCCAGCAACAGCGCCGACCACAAAGCCTGCAAGTGCTCCAGCATCCGTGCCAGCAAGTGCTCCAGCATCCGTGCCTGCAAGCAGCCCAGCTGTGACTCCGAGCAGCGTGCCAGCGGCCAGCCCAGTGGTGTCACCCACAGGGGTGCCATCATCGGTGCCCTCCGCGGTGCCAGCTGCATCCCCAACCAGCGTGCCAACCAGCACACCTGCGTTGGCTCCCACAGCAGCGCCAGCCACGGTTCCTACGGCAGCCCCAGCAGTTGTGCCTACGGTGGCTCCAGCCAGCAGCCCTGTGGCAGTCCCAGTCGCTTTCCCAACTGCGGCACCGGCAGCTGTTCCAGCAACTGCACCAGCAATGGTGCCAGCAACAGCGCCGGCCACACTGCCTGCAAGTGCTCCCGCATCCGTGCCTGCAAGTGCTCCCGCATCCGTGCCTGCTAGTGCTCCAGCATTGGTGCCTGCAAGCAACCCAGCTGTGACTCCCAGCACTGTGCCAGCAAGCAGCCCAGTTGTGTCACCCACAGGGGTGCCATCATCAGTGCCCTCGACGGTGCCAGCTGCGGCTCCAACAAGTGCACCATCCAGCACACCTGCGTTGGCTCCCACAGCAGCGCCAGCCACGGTTCCGACAGCAGCACCGGCAGTTGTGCCCACGGCAGTTCCAGCCAGCAGCCCTGTGGCAGTCCCAGTGGCTTCCACGACTTCAGCACCGGCGACTGTTCCAGCAACAGCACCAGCCACGGTGCCAGCAACAGCGCCAACCACAAAGCCTGCAAGTGCTCCCACATCCGTGCCAGCAAGTGCTCCAGCATCCGTGCCTGCAAGCAGCCCAGCTGTGACTCCCAGCAGCGTGCCTGCGACCAGCCCAGTGGTGTCACCTACAGGGGTGCCATCATCAGTGCCCTCCACGGTGCCGGCTGCATCCCCAACCAGCGTGCCAACCAGCACACCTGCGTTGGCTCCCACAGCAGTGCCAGCCACGGTTCCGACCGCAGCGCCAGCAGTTGTGCCTACAGTGGCTCCGGCCAGTAGCCCTGTTGCAGTCCCGGTGGCTTCCCCGACAGCTGTTCCAGCCACAGCACCAGTCACAGTTCCAGCAACAGCGCCGGCCACACTGCCTGCAACAGTACCGGCCACAATGCCTGCAAGTGCTCCTGCATCGGTGCCTGCTAGTGCTCCTACCTCGGTGCCTGCAAGCAGCCCAGCTGTTACTCCAAGCAGCGTGCCAGCAAGCAGCCCGGTGGTGTCACCAACAGGGGTTCCATCAGCTGTGCCGTCCGCAGTGCCAGCCGCGACCCCAACAAGTGTGCCATCCGGCATGCCTGCGTTGGCTCCCACCGCAGCGCCAGCCACGGTTCCCACGGCATCGCCAGCAGTTGTGCCCACGGCAGTTCCAGCCAGCAGCCCTGTGGCAGTCCCAGTGGCTTCCACGACTTCAGCACCGGCGACTGTTCCAGCAACAGCACCAGCCACGGTGCCAGCAACAGCGCCAACCACAAAGCCTGCAAGTGCTCCCACATCCGTGCCAGCAAGTGCGCCAGCATCCGTGCCTGCAAGCAGCCCAGCTGTGACTCCAACCAGCGTGCCTGCGACCAGCCCAGTGGTGTCACCTACAGGGGTGCCATCATCAGTGCCCTCCACAGTGCCAGCTGCGACCCCAACAAGGGCACCATCCAGCACACCAGCGCTGGCTCCCACAGCAGCGCCAGCCACGGTTCCCACCGCAGCGCCAGCAGTTGTGCCCACGGCAGTTCCAGCCAGCAGCCCTGTGGCAGTCCCAGTGGCTTCCACGACTGCAGCACCGGCGACTGTTCCAGCCACAGCACCAGCCACGGTGCCAGCAACAGCGCCGACCACACTGCCTGCAAGTGCTCCCGCATCCGTGCCTGCAAGTGCTCCAGCATCCGTGCCTGCAAGCAGCCCTGCTGTGACTCCTAGCAGCATGCCAGCCACCAGCCCAGTGGTGTCACCCACAGGGGTGCCATCATTAGTGCCCTCCACGGTGCCAGCTGCAACCCCAACCAGCGTGCCAACCAGCACACCTGCGTTGGCTCCTGCAGCCGCGCCAGTCACAGTGCCAGCAGTTGTGCCTGCAGTGGCTCCGGCCAGTGGCCCTGTTGCTGTCCCAGCCCCAACTGCGGCACCGGCAGCTGTTCCAGCAACCGCGCCAGCCACACTGCCTGCAAGTGCTCCAGCATCCGTGCCTGCAAGCAGCCCAGCTGTTACTCCGACCAGGGTGCCAGCGGCCAGCCCAGTGGTGTCACCCACAGGGGTGCCATCAGTAGAGCCCTCCACGGTGCCAGCTGCAGCCCCAACCAGCGTGCCCTCTAGCACACCTGCGTTGGCGCCAGCCGCAGTTCCCACAGCTGCGCCAGCAGTTATGCCCACGGTGGTTCCGGCCAGTAGCCCTGTGGCGGTTCCAGTCGCATCCACAACAGCAGTTGCTGGCACTTCCACCATCACAGCCACTGAGACAAGTACCTCAACAATCACAGGTACTAGCACCAGCACATTCACCATCACAGGCACCGAGACAAGTACCTTCACAATCACTGGCACGACGACCTCAACCGTCACCAGCACCAGCACCTTCACAGTTACTGGCACCACCACATCTACCATCACAGGCACTGAGACAAGTACCTCAACAATCACTGGCACGACCACCTCGACAGTCACTGGCACCAGCACAGCCACTGTCACTGTCACCAGCACATCTACCATCACAGGCACTGAGACAAGTACCTCAACGATCACTGGCACGACCACCTCTACAGTCACCGGCACCAGCACATCCACTGTTACTGGCACTAGCACATCTACCATCACAGGCACTGAGACAAGAACCTCAACGACCACAGGCACGACCACCTCTACAGTCACCGGCACCAGCACATCCACTGTTACTGGCACTAGCACATCTACCATCACAGGCACTGAGACAAGTACCTCAACGACCACTGGAACGACCACCTCCACAGTCACCGGCACCAGCACATCCACTGTGACTGGCACCAGCACATCTACCATCACAAGCACTGAGACAAGCACTGGGACGACCACCTCTACAGTTACCGGCACCAGCACCTCCACCGTCACTGGCACCAGCACATCTACATCTACAATCACTGGCACTCAGACAAGCACCTCAACGATCACTGGCACGACCACCTCTACAGTCACCGGCACCAGCACATCCACTGTTACAGGCACCAGCACATCTACCATCACAGGCACTGAGACAAGTACCTCAACGATCACCGGTACTGGCACCAGCACATCTACATCTACCATCACTGGCACTCAGACAAGCACCTCAACGATCACTGGCACAACCACCTCTACAGTCACCGGCACCAGCACATCCACTGTTACAGGCACCAGCACATCTACCATCACAGGCACTGAGACAAGTACCTCAACGATCACCGGTACTGGCACCAGCACATCTACATCTACCATCACTGGCACTCAGACAAGCACCTCAACGATCACTGGCACGACCACCTCTACAGTCACCGGCACCAGCACATCCACTGTTACAGGCACCAGCACATCCACCATCACTGAGACAAGTACCTCAACGGTCACCAGCACATCTACATCTACCATCACAGGCACTCAGACAAGCACCTCAACGATCACTGGAACGATCACTGGCACGACCACCTCTACAGTCACCGGCACCAGCACCTCCACCGTTACTGGCACCAGCACATCTACCATCACAGGCACTGAGACAAGTACCTCAACGATCACTGGCACGACCTTCACAGTCGCTGGCAGCACCTCCACAGTCACAGGCACCAGCACATCCACCATCACAGGCACTGAGACAAGTACCTCAACGATCACTGGTACTGGCACCAGCACATCTACATCTACCATCACAGGCACTCAGACAAGCACCTCAACGATCACTGGCGCGACCACCTCTACAGTCACCGGCACCAGCACCTCCACAGTTACAGGCACCAGCACATCTACCATCACAGGCACTGAGACAAGTACCTCAACTGTCACTGGCACGACCACCTCGACAGTCACCGGCACCAGCACATCCACAGTTACAGGCACCAGCACATCTACCATCACAGGCACTGAGACAAGTACCTCAACGATCACTGGCACGACCACCTCCACAGTCACCGGCACCAGTACGATCACCACGACAGGCAGGTTGCAATCCCTTGAGCCATTTTGGTAGTGTCCCTTTTGAGGGGGCGGGGTTTTGAGTCCTTGGTTGTTATTCTGTCCGACATGTTTTCTGGGGAGCTAGCCGACGAATAAGGGTGGTCAAAGATGTCGCAACCATGTTTTGACAGGCTTCAGCACCACCGCGAGCGCTGCGCAAGTTCCGGCAGCAAGCCCCACACAGTCCCCCGCAGGCAGGGGGGGTAACATCAACTTACCGGTTTGATTGGTAGGCAGTGAGCGAATGAACCCCCTACCGCTGCGAGGCTGTGATTGTTTGTGTGTTGTTTCATGCTTGGAGAACAGAGACCCCCGAACCAACCAGCCACCCATGCAACCAACCAACCAACCAACCCACCAACAAACCAACCAACCCACCCACCCACCCACCCACCCACCCACCCACCCACCCACCCACCCACCCACCCACCCACCCACCCACCCACCCACCCACCCACCCACCCACCCACCCACCCACCCACCCACCCACCCACCCACCGACCCACCGACCCACCGACCCACCGACCCACCGCCCCACCGACCCACCGACCCACCGACCCACCGACCCACCACCCTACCGGTCAACAGACCCGACCAACCAATTAACCAATTAACCAACTAACCAATTAACCAACCAGCCAGCCAGCCAACCAGCCAGTCAGCCAGCAAACCAACCCATCAACCAACAATCAACAAACCGACCGACCGACCAACCAACCGACAGACTAAGCGACCGACCGACCCCCTGACCGACCAACTGACCAACCAACCAGCCAGCCAACCAACCGACCAACCAACGCGCAAACAAACAAGGAAGCACCAACCAACGCGCACCAACGCGCACCAACGCGCACCAAAGAACTAACCAACAAAACAACGCACGAACGCAGCAACGCACCAAGGCACCAACCAATCAGCCAGCCAACCCACCCACCCACCCACCCCCCCAACCAACCACCCACCCACCCACCCACCCACCCACCCACCCACCCACCCACCCACCCACCCACCCACCCACCCACCCACCCACCCACCCACCCACCCACCCACCCACCCACCCACCCACCCACCACCCACCCACCACCCACCCACCCACCCACCCACCCACCCACCCACCCACCCACCCACCCACCGACCCACCGACCCACCGACCCACCGACCCACCGACCCACCGACCTACCGGTCAACCGACCCGACCAACCAATTAACCAGTTCACCAATTAACCAACAAACCAATTAACCAACCAACCGGCCAGCCAGCCAACCAGCCAGCCAGCCAGCCAGCCAGCCAGCCAGCCACCCAACCAGCCTGCCAGACAGCCAGCCAACCAACCAACCAACCAACCCAACCAACCAACTCACCAAACCCACCAACCCACCAACCCACCAACCCACCAGCCAACTAACCCACCAGCCAACCACCAAACCACGCCACCCAGCCAACCAGCCACCCAACCAGCCAGCCAGCCAGCCAGCCAGCAAACCAACCCAACCGACTGACCAACCGACAGACTAAGCGACCGATCGACCCCCTGACCGACCGACCGACCAACCAGCCAGCCAACCAACCAACCAACCAACCAACGCGCAAACAAACAAAGGAGCACCAACCAACGCTCACCAACGCGCACCAAAGAACTAACCAACAAAACCAACGCACGAACGCAGAAACGCACCAAAGCACCAACCAACCAGCCAGCCAGCCAGCCCACCCACCCACCCACCCACCCACCCACCCATCCACCCATCCACCCAACGACCTACCAATCAACCGACCAACCGACCAACCAATTAACCAATTAACCAACTAACCAATTAACCAACCAACCAGCCAGCCAGCCAGCCAGCCAGCCAACCAACCAACCAACCAACCAACCCGACCCCCCAACCAACCAACCAACCAACCAACCAAGCAAGCAAGCAAGCAACCTGGGAAAATCAGAGACTAATCTCTGCTAATCAACCAAGGCAGCAAATGCACCTTTGTCATCTTGAGCCATGCAATGGTAATCAGTATGAATTACATCCAAGTGGGAATGCATGGTGTACTTTCGCACGCCCCCTTGGATTAATGGAAAATGTGGAATTAATCCACACTCCACTAGCACAAATGCATTCCAAAGAATGCCAAGCTGCCTTGAAATCTTTTCTCTCTGCAAAATGTCTATGCAAAACGGGTGACCTAATCATCACCAAAAGAATTGCAATGCTGGGAAATGCACAAGGACAAGTGGTTGAATGTATTGTGGACTCGAATCACAGACAGAATGTGTTCCAAGAGTATCGCCTCCAGAATCACCAGAAAACGTCCTCTCAATGTATTGGTGTCATAGATGAATCCAAACCAAAAGTAAACTGTCATCTACAGTAATGTTGTAACTGTACCTCCACACAAATGCCGAAAACTGAATCACAAATGAAGTGGCAAATCGAACCAGGCAAAATCGCGATATCCAATGAACATAGAATCTCAATGCAAATCCAGTGTGGAATAAATGCATCCAAATCGGTGCCTGGCCAGAATCGAAATCCCAGCTCCACCAATGCTGAATCACAGCTTCGCTCTGTAATATGAATCTACCAGTGACTTGGGAATCTCCTGGTAGTCGCCCATGAATTTGTCCAATGAAGTCTTCCAGGTCTTGGGAATGAACATGTGGTAATCCCGGTACCAATGGGAATTGCTTTGCTGCAATGAATTGGCAGCGAGCATCAATTCCCCAATCTGGGCCTTGATATTGAATCCGGCCATGGAGCAAATCTCCTGCATCGCCAAGCTGTCTCTTGAATCCCAAATGTAATCCTTGAAGTGAATGATGGGGTCAATGTGAGACCTCACAAATACGTGAGTAAATGAATGCCTCATGAAATCAAGAAATCGCTGCGAATGTGGCCTGAATCCAATCACCACTGGTGTGTCCGCCAAATACTGAATCAATCTGTTCTTTGCATCACCCTCTGGTGCAAATGATCGCTCATAGCTGAATGAATACAGAAAGAATAGCAAAGACGAACGCGGGCTCAAATGGAATCCAGTAAACTGACTGTTCCAGAAACAATGTGAAGCAAGAATTGCAAATGTTCCCTTCATAGCCTCAGGAATGTTACTGGCACGGCCCTCAAAAATCCTCTTCAAATGGTTCCACATTGCTGAAGGCATGGTGAAATACAGCATGAATGGCAACATGCAAAAGTTCAAATGTTGCAAATTCCAATTGGGGTTGAATGGAATCAATCTCTCCACCCTTGGTGGGAATTGTAGCCACAAATGCCTCTCAAATGGAGTATAGGACATACTCCCAGCCGCAATGTTTGGAATGATCCTGATCAGAATCTGCGCACTCCAGGCATCGTCCGCGAATCGGTTCATGAAAATAAAATCCTGGAACCTAAATTGTTCCTGTTGCTGGCCGCTGAATAGAATCTGCCACAACATCGTGGCCGTAATGAATGCCTTGTATTCCGAAAAATTCGTGCGCTCCATCTTCAAATCTCTTGCGAGAATCCGGTGGAAATACTGTCGCGTCAAATTCCGGAATGCGGGCTGTCCATCGCATCGGTCGAAGTAAATGCACACCGAAATGTCAGTCAGAATGTTGAGCAAAACAAATGTTGCAGTCATGCATGAAATGGCTTCGAATTCACTCGTGGCAAAATGTCTTGACTACTGACTAAGTGAAACAGAATCATGTTGACTATCTACTACCTGAAGGGCAAATCCCTAATGTGATGTTATGCCTCTGCAAAATTGCCTTGGCAACATACTTGGTTAAAATGTCAGATGGGTTGAGGGTTCCCGGAATCTTCTTAATCACCAGGGTCCCAGAGGAAACCAGCTCCTGGACAAACAGAAATCGCAATTGGACATGTTTGGTTTTCCGGGATGCCCCAAATCTGACAGCCATGCTCTTGCCTGCAGTTGAATCGGTAAACAGAATGATGTTCACCTTGGGAGCCACAAGGGTTTCCAGAATCAAAGATTTAATGAATAGGGCCTCGGCCGCACCACTTCCAATAGCATAAAGTTCGGCTTCCCCACTTGACAAGGCAATGGTGGCCTGTGTTCTGCTGTGTGCTGAAATGTTGATGCCGAGAATGTTCAATGCTACTCCTGATGTGGACCTCCTGGAATCGGTGCAACCTGCCCAATCGCTGTCCACATAGACCTTTATGTCCAATGATTTCACCTGTCTTCCAATCCGGAAATCAGGTCTCATAACATGGACATAATCCTTGGTTCCACTCAGGTACCTCAACAATGTCTTCAACTTAATCTTGTGCACCTCAGTGGGAGCAACCAATCCTCGTGACAACTCCTTAACAGCATACATGATGTCAACACGCAATGCTGCAAGCCACAACAATTGTCCAACCAATCTCCTATACAATTTATGCTCTTGCGAATTCAACAATTCGTTGTCAAGCAACTTCCGCAATGAATCTCCTCCTGGCGTCTGAGCCGGCTTGCTCTTGGTCATGCCATAGGAATCCAGCATGCGGTCAATGTAATCAGGAGACATGAACAATTCCATGGAATCTGATGTTCGGCGAATCTGACGTCCCAAGAAGGAGACTGTCTTACCTTCACTCAATTCACCTGTCTGCCGAATCAGAAGCACCTTCTTCAAATCTTGCATCACCTCATCAATGTCACGTCGCTCACCTACAAACATCAAATCATCGACATAGACCAATGCCCACAATTTCTTGGTCTTGTGTCGGTACAAATTCGGATCTGACTTCAAACGCTCAAATCCCGCGTCAAGCATGGTCTTGGCTAAATGCTGTTGCCATGCCTTTGGCGAACCTTTCAGGCCATACAATGCCTTCTTCAATCGCCAAAGTACGCCCCCTTGAGGGTAGTACTCCTTTGGAGGAATGACAAAAATCTTCTGCCACAACGTCGCATGCAAGAATGCGGTGGACACGTCTGCAATCACAACATCCAAATTCATGGCAATGGACAACGCAATCAACAACTTCAATGTGGACAAGCTTGGGGTAGAAGCGAATGTGTCATCCTTATCTTCAATGTATTGGTCAAAGCCACGGGCTACCAATCTACACTTCACTTCTGCTCCTTTCCAAGACTTAACCCACTTCATTGAAATTGCTGAATCAACTTCTTCCTGCGTCAAATCCTCGGTTTTCTCTTCTACATACGAATCAAAGTCCTTCATGGAATTCATTTCCTTGTTCATTCCTGCCTCTTCCAAATCTCTGGGGAATTCAGACTCTCCCCACAGAATCGGATTGGCAAATTTCTTCATGTTCCCTAATTCTTCTTCATCCTGGTTTACATGAATGGGCAAGTCCAATGACTCACGCGTGGTGACTGTGGCAATCCTACAATCTTCAACCAATGTGCAACCAAACTCGCATGGCAGAATGGCAGAAATGTAGCTTACAGTAGAATCCGCTTCAGGAATCTCTGCCTGCTCACTGGTTCTCTTAATGCCTCTTGCCTCTGCCAATCTGCGCCTATTGGTTGGAGACTCCGAATGCTCTCCAGGTTCCCTGTCAATGTCCTCATGACCTCGCGTCAATCCTTGGGACAACTGGGCTGACGAATCCTCACCAGTTCCATCGTGATCTGGCTCCTCTGTTTGCTCGTCAGTTGGTGGAATCCCCAAAGGTGGCTGGGGTTCACCTTTCTGGAGCACAGCAGAATCACCCGGAAGGATGAACGAATCCGTTTCGACCTTGGATCCTTTTGGATCCCATGGCAATGCACGCAACCCTTGCATCAAATCTCGCTTGACTTGTGATCCCGGCTGAAGTCTCCGAATGCCTCGCACCTTGTACACAGCATTGGAATCCGCCACAAAATGCTGGTCGGATGTGGTGTCACGTCCAAGCCAAATGCCTGAATGCCACGATGGCTCAGACTTAGGCGCAGGCAATCGGAACTGCACAGACTCGGCAATTCGACACAATGCACCTCCATACTTCTTTCCCCATCGTCGTTCAAATGGAGTGAATCCATCAGACCGATGAAGAAACCTGTTTAGAAGCCACATGGAGTGCTTAACAATCCAAGGAAACAATGGCGAATGCACGCTAACCGACATGCCATACCTATGTTGAATGTCAAGCTTCAAAGCACGAATCTGAGCATACAATGTTGCTTGCATGTTGGAAATGGATCCCTGAGCTTGCTTCCAGCCAGTGGGAGCTTCACGGTATGACAATCCACCAATGTCACCCGTGACTGCCTCGACCAAGGCTTTTAATGAAGCTTCAGGGTCGCACTGAACAATCCCAAATGTCCTTCCAATCTCCAACACGAATTTCCTCAACTCTGCTTGCGCATACACAATGCGTCCTTTGGACGGAACAACGCACGCCAATCCCATTCCACTCAGTACATCAGTGGCCGTGAGCAATGTCACCTGTGTGTCACTTTGTGAATCACCCATAAAGGCGTAATCCACCTGAATCACAGGTTGCCGCACCGAAATGGCACGACTCTGGTTTTGCTTGCTCTTCGACCTGACGCAAATCTCACACCATGATCTGAATGGCAGATGAGTCAACTCATGTTCACGAATCTCATCGTCCGTCGGCTGTTTGGGAACGTACAATCCCTTTGGCCGTTGAGCCGACATTTCCGGAATGTCCGGGTTGCTCTCTTCCAAGAATTGCTGAGACTGCCGACGAAAAATCGTCGCGCCTTTGAATGGCTCAGGAAATTCCGTAGCAGCAGCCTCTGGGTCAGCCCAGTGGTCGTGAATCCACTGGAGTCTCCCGTTGAGGAACACAGCCAATGTGTGCCTCTCGTTCCCCAGCAATTCCTTGGAGGGAGCGGCCGAATCGGTCTCATCTGGCACATACAGACAATTCCTCCACTCATGGTGTATCCTAATGTCAAACTTGGGTGTGAGGTACCATTCATCATGTCCGAATGGTCCTCCTGTCTCCGGGTCACTCATGCACAATCGCCGTTCCACAATTTCCTTCGCTTCTTCCAATTCTCCCGTCGTCAGCTCCTTCACTGACCGGGAATAATCATCCTGGCCAATGTCAGCAGACGGTTGCGCTTTCAAATGAGGTTTCTTTGCTGGCACTGACGCTTCCTGAATGGGAGGTCTTGCAATTGTGGATTGCTTCCCCGTCAATCGTCTTGCCGTCGGCAAGGATTGCAACGGGAATTCTGTCCTTCCCATCCAGTACTGATCCAACGCCCGTTGCGGAGAATCTATCGTCCGCCAATTGTCGGCGATGGTCTCCTCACGTCCATCTTCGAATCGGACGTAAGTTGTGCGTCTGGACGCCACATCTTCCACAGGAATGGGCCTGTCCTTGGTGCCACCTGGCGTGAATAACGCACGCCTTGCGCGCTTGTGATGTCGAATCAGCACAGCGCGTTGCGGATCAAGTTCCCAACTGTCGTTGTGGTAAATGGTGGGCTTAAATGTGGGTGCTATGGTCCCTGAAGAATCTGAACCAAACTTGGAATGAAACTCTTGACACACTTCTTCAAATCGGGGTTTGTCAAATGGAAGAATGTTCGGACCTAGGAAAAGCAGTGAGCCTTTTCGGTGAATACTCACTACCTTACCATTGGGCATAAACAATCCCAATGAGTCTGGTCCATCCAATGCTACGCGGAATCCCTGCAGCAGCAATCGTGCAACCGACACAATCGGATAAGGCACGTCACAAACATAAAAATTCATGAAGCAATCTTGTCCATCCAAGTTCAAGCCAACCAATCTTCTCCCATACATGTTCAATGGCTGTCCTGTGACACTCTTCAATGGTGGGCCATTTCCATTTAATGGAAGCAATGGCCATTGTTCACCAAAGTCTGGCGGACAGCAATGGGCAGATGCTCCTGAATCAAATAGAATCCACGGGGTGGAATCCTCGACTGCTGAAATCAACTGTTCATGCAAGAATGTGTCAACAAACTTCGAATTCAAGTGATCCAAGCCGCAGTCCTTCAAGGTGGTCACGAAATGAAAAGAATCCTTCACTGGGGTTGGTTCATCATACCAATCTAACAAGTCTTGTCCGGGAACAGGGGCAATCAATCCGGCACTCAAACATGGCATGCTATCCAATCCAGTGTCCAAGCAATACATCGACTTAAACAATCTTTCATGCTCTCCAAATGTCATCCAACTTTCACCTTCACCCTCAGACGGACTGCCACGAGTGGCAGGAATCTGAAAGGATGATCCTGAGGTGACCGAATTCATGACAAGTGCAGCAATCAAAAATGATGAGGCCTTTGGCTTGGCCTTTGGCCGAATGGGAGTTGAGCCAATGTTTGGACTCAATCCCGGCGGCACCTGTGTCACTGCTCCAATGGTTCCTTGCTGTGAATCTCCTGCTGGGGGTGGTCCTGCCGATGAAAACACGGCAGAATCGCATCCAGCAGGAGGCTCTGGAATCTGACTGTCCTGAAACCAATCCCAAGGGTGGTCCCAAGAGTTCACAGAATCCCATGATCCCCAAGACGAATCCCAGGACCAATCTTCTCCTTCATCCCAACTCAATCCAGCAATGTCCCATGAGCCATCAGGCCACGACGAATCAGGCCAGGGCTCTTCGGACCATTCTTCATTCCAATCTTCCTCAATCACTCCGCTCACAGCTCTCTGCGGACATGTTCTGGAAATGTGGCCGCGAGAGCCGCAAATCCAGCAGGTTGCAATCGACCCTTTTCCTTTTCCTTTGGAATCCTTTCCTTTTCCTTTTGGGTCCTTTCCTTTGCCTTTGCCTTTGAAATCCTTTCCTTTTCCTTTTCCTTTGCTGAATGCTCCTTTGTTGTATGACCAATGTGGTCCTTTGGCTCCTTTGAATCCTTTGAATCCTTTGCCTTTGCCTTTTCCTTTGAATCCTTTCAGCGCCCCAATGTCCATGGGTGCTGGTCCTTGGTTGTCATTCCCCGGCATGTTCCTAAGAATGTGCCTGGAATGGTGGTACTGCACAATCACGTTTCGTGTTTGTTCATAGGTCAACAATGCCGAAGCATTGAGCCTCAAATGCTGTTGCAATGGGCCTGTTGTCTTGTTCAAGAGGGTAGCCACCAGAATGCTATCAGGAATGGCTTGGCCGGTTTGAGATTCATATCTGGCCTTAATGGTCTCCCAGGTGTTGAAATCTTGTTCAAATGTATTGGAGTGAAACTTGAATTCCAAAATCTGGCTAAGTAAACTCATGTGCCGTGTTGCGTCCGGCAATGCAAATTTGGAATACAATCTCCTCCAGGTTTCATAACCATTGCAGCCAATGTTCTGCCTGACTACCAGCCTTGCTGAATCACTGCACAAATTTGCTAACAAATAATGCAGCCTTCGGGAATTCTGAATCCTTCTGTCTGTGGCATCCTGGTTACCCGCTACATTCAAATGCGCGTCCTCAATGGGTGTGTCTGCGTTGGCCTCAATGCGGTCCATAATCGTTGTTGAATCTGGCAGGAACATGCTCAAATATGTCCTGAAATCCCAGCTCCAATCTTCCCAGTCCTCTGGCTTGCCAGTGAATTTCCCTGGCATGGGAAGTCTTAGCTTTCCTGCAAAATCCTCATCTTGTCCGAGTGCCATGGCAGCTCTCAGAATCAGGTTTCCCTAAGGTCTCCTGAATCTTCGAGCTCCGCTACCATGGGAAAATCAGAGACTAATCTCTGCTAATCAACCAAGGCAGCAAATGCACCTTTGTCATCCTTGAGCCATGCAATGGTAATCAGTATGAATTACATCCAAGTGGGAATGCATGGTGTACTTTCGCACAACCAACCAACCAACCAACCAACCAACCAACCAACCAACCAACCAACCAACCAAGCAAGCAAGCAAGCAAGCAAGCACGCAAACAAGCAAGCAAGCAACCAAGCAAGCAAGCAAGCACGCAAGCAAACAAGCAAGCAAGCAACCAACCCAACCCAACCCAACCCAACCCAACCCAACCCAACCCAACCCAACCCAACCCAACCCAACCAACCAACCAACCAACCAACCCGCCAACCCCCCAACCAACCAACCAACCAAACAACAAACCGACCGACCGACCAACCAACCAACCAAACAACCAACCAACCACCGACCAACCAACCAACCAACCACCGACCAACCAACCAACCAACCAACCAACCAACCAACCAACCAACCCAGCCACCAACCTACCAACAGCCCAGCCACCCCTTGCAGGCCCCAGCGTGGTACCTGCCACCGTGCCGGCCGCCGCGCCCGCGCCCGGCCCGGCGGCACCGCTGGCGGTGCCATCTCAGGCGCCCGCGGCTCAGCTGGCGAAGTGCCAAGACCTCTCGGCCAAGGCAAGCCGAACCTGGCGATGGGGGTCCGTTCAACTGATGGGTCCCCCAGCTAGGTGCCCTTTCTCACCAACTTTTTTGGTTGGGAGGGTTCCCCTACTCAAATAGACTACAGAAAAGAAAAAACCAAGGTACCCTTATTCTAACCTCTCTACTGCACAAACAAAACCCGGGGAAGTGAAGGTTAGTACGGGACAATCCCAACCATAAATAGCTGCGGCCGCCTTCTTAATTCTTTACATGGTTCTGGGTCGACCATTTTTGTACCGGGTTTTGATTAACTGGCTGCCAGCCGGCAATTCGGTGGTGGTTCTTAATCATTGTTTTGCCGTTTTCTCGGCTTCACACGACCTATTTGTTATCCCAATGGTGGTTTATGTGGGGAAGAGTTTCCCAGCCTAATTTTTCAGGTTGGTAGAATATGATACTTCACGAGAACTTCTTTTCGGGTTTCAAGTTGAACTGGTGGCTAAGTTGGACCCGATTTGGGCAATTCAGGTGGTTCGAACCTTAGGAGTCAGCTCTCTGTCACGTGAGGGGCCCGTTGGCGTTGGGTTGAGAACCACCTTCCGCTCGCTAAGGGTTACCCAGGTTCGAGCATGTGATTTTCAGGTAAAACCGGAATAAATTGGTGTAAACAAAAATATGTTTTTTTGATATGGAAAGATCAGATCTGAATGGTTTTCCAAGCAATGGACATCCCATGTACGGACCTTTTGATCAACCCCCAATGCGTGTGGCTCAAAATTGCAGAGCCAGGGTTACGCAGGCTTTAGTCAACTTGGTTCCATTTACCAAGGTGCCATTTGTAGTTTTGACCCTTAGGGTCTGTCATTTTTGGAGGGTGCTCAGTATGAGGGAATGAACCCAGGGACGAAAAGGACACCACCAGTTGAATGGTTTGTAGGGGGCATTCCCTCAGCGCCAGCAAGTGGGGTTGTATGAATACCCCGCGCCTTTACATTATGTAAGGCTTCGTCCGGAGGGGGAGGTGCATGGCGAAACGCTTGAAAAACGAGAAGGAAGAAAAAAACGATAACGTTTGTGTTTACTACTATTACTACTCCTCCTACTAATACTACTACGACGACTACTACTACTACTACTCCTGCTACTACTACTACTACTACTACCACTACTACTACTAATACTACTACTACTACTACGACCAGTACTCACGACTACTACTACTACTACTACTACTACTACTACTACTACTACTACTACTACTACTAGTACTACTACTACTAATACTACTACTACTACTACTACTACTACTACTACTACTACTACTACTACTACTACTACTACTACTACTACTACTACTACTACTACTACTACTACTACTACTACTACTATACTACTACTATTATTACGACAAGTGACAGGGGCACCGCGTGCTTTTTTCAACGGGTCAAGCTTCAAAACCGGAACTGCCCAGGGTTCAAAAAGCAGTCCGAACGTTCGGAAACATGTCTGAAGCAGCTCCGAATTGCCCGAAGCCACCACAGGTCCACTTGAGCAAGTTATCCAACTACGACTACTATTACGATTGCTACTACTATTATTTCTACCACTACTACTGCTACTGCTACTACTACTACTACTACTACTACTACTACTACTACTACTACATTACTACTAGCCCGTCAGACGGGCGCCGACGGGCGCCCGTCGGACGGGCGCGCCCGTCCGTCCGGCCAACAGTACCGTGGTTATTACTATTGCTATTGCTACATTATTTTTTAGTCATAAACTACAACTACTACTACAACTACTATTAATACAACTAGTACTAGTACTTATACTACTACTACTGCTACTATTACGACAAGAGACAGGGGCGCCGCGTCAAGCTTCAAAACCGGAACTGATCAGGGTTCAAAAAGCAGTCCGAAACAGTTCGAAACATGTCTGAAGCATTTGAGCAAATTATCCAACTATTATTACGGTTTCTATTACGATTACTGCTACTACTGCTGCTACTACTACGACTGTACTGCTACTACTAGTACTATTACTACTACTACTACTACCACCACCGCGACTATTACTACTACTACTACTACTACTACTACTAGTGGTACTACTGCTACTACTCCTACTACTGCTACTATCACTACTACTACTACTACTACTTGTACTACTACTACTACTACTACTACTACTACTACTACTACTACTACTACTACTGTTACCTTATTGCTACTACTACTACTGCTACCATCCTACTGCTACAACTATTCTTACCACCGCCACCACCACCACCACTACTACCACTACTACTACTACTTGTACTACTACTACTACTATAGTAATACTACTACTACTGCTGCTGCTACTACTACTGCTGCTACTACTACAATTATTTTTATCACTCATACTACTATTACTATTTTTATTTTTACTATTAGCATTACTACTTCGATTAATATTATTACTACTATTACGACTACATTTATTCTTACTACCACCACTACTACTACTAGGACTAGTACTAGTACTCGCACCAGTACTACTACTACTACGACTACTACGACTACTACGACTACTACTACTACTACTACTACTACAACTACTACTACTACTACTACTACTACTACTACTACTACTACTACTACTACTACTACAACTACTACTACTACTACTACAGAATTATCATCCAACACCGATGCTTCCAATTACCTGTAAAACGATAAGGAAGAAAAAACGATAATGGTGTTGAGGGTCAATTAACAGGTCACGGGGTTTTCTTACAACCCCAAGTTGTTTTGGAGGGTGTCCCCTGTTTTGTGTAAAGGGAAGCCAAAAAGGAAAGCCAAGATACTGCGGAGGGTCGAAAGCGAAATCCGGAAGCATTGCGCCGCGAAATGAGGCGCTGTGGAGTTGAAAAACCACAACAACGTTGGTTGGTCTGGTATTTACGTTGTGGAATGAGGTGGTGCGAAACGGATTTCGTTCATCCACAGGAAAACTGTTCCCCTTAAAATTGGTCTGAATCTCCACTAAGGGACACCATCCGAAGCAGGGGTTTTGCTTAATCCGGATCAGCCTTTTCTTGCTGGTTCGATTGGCAGGGAATGAGAAATGGAATGACCCCCACATAAACCATCCCGTATGGTTTCCTTTAACGGGACTCCCCTTCCGGTTCATTCTCAACACGCGGAAGGGCATTCCTTATACTGAGCACCAGCAAGATAGCCCTTTGCCTTGGACGACGTGAACCACAATCAAAACCCGGGGTGGTGGTTTTGTGACAGCGTTTTTGTGATGTTTTAGCGGGTTTTCGGGGTTTTGAGGTTGTTGGGGTTGAGGGCTTTGAGGGTTTTCAGGGTTTGGGGGTCTTTGAGGGGGTTTGAGGTAGTTCAGGTTGAAACGAGTCAAGGAATCGATTTGTGGGTCCCAAGCTTTGAAGCCGCCGCTTATGTTGTTGCTTGTTCTGCTCCAAAATTTGTCTTTTGGGCGATGGGATATATATATATATGTATTTCCTGACAGGTGAATGGCCAAAAAAAAAGGCGAACAAAGGCGCTTTGATTTGTGTGGCTTTGCCACAACATGTCCCAGTTATCCTCCAGTTTCCAGTATCACCGAATCCAGGGCTTACCTCTAGGAATTTTAACATGATGGATTCCCTGGTTGTTTTCCAAAAACTGTGGCTGAAGGGAAACAACAGAGGCTTCCGGAATAGGAGCTCCTAGCGGGCAAGTGCCCACGGGATGGTTGGGGGCCATTCAAAATGTTCGACTCGGAAGGCAGCCAGACTTTTTGTCGTGGCGTTTTTTCTCCAATGCAAATACACACACAGGCCACCTCCATTTGCTTAAGAATATTGTGTAATTTCCCTTGTTGGTTTTAAAAGGAATTCATCACTACGACTACCAAGAGGCCACAAGGAAACAACATGGCACCGGGCTACGACTTCTTTTTTTGGGGGGTGGCCATGACAGCCGCGGAAACAAGCATTCAGCGTTCAGCACATTGTAGGCGGCTGTTCCTGTTGTCTGAAACATCTGCAAATATAATATCATGGTGAATCTTGGCCTTTTATTTGGTTAAAGCCCCAGGAATAATATATTTCCAGTACCTTACCCTTGCTGCGAAGCAAGGGTTTTTTTTGCCACGGCTTCCTATTCCTCTCCCTCTCTCTCTACAGCTGCCCTGCGCCCTAGAATTTGTTTCCGGCCATAGACATGCAAAATTTGGCACCGAGGAGTTCTCGAGATACTCTGACTTTCAAAGCACCAAGCTTACATTGGCTAAAATGAATTTGCAGATTCTTGTTGTTCTTTTCCGGTTTTAAAGGTTGAAATGATTTCACTGGACATACCTGGACCTTCCTGCGTGCTTAACATTTCCGCCAATTCGCTACGAATTGCCTTTTGGGGCAATTGCGCATGTTTTTGTTTCCCCTAAATTACTCAATTTGGGCGATAAGCGTAATCTATCGTAATCTCCCCGGTCCCCGAATCTACACGCGAAAATTCCCGACAAACAGGCAACAATTCCCGACCAACGGGCGAACATTCCCGACCGCGGCGCAAACAAGTATGACCGCCGTGTTTGTTTCCCCGTTTTTGTTTTTGGTTCGCCCTAAAATATTTTGTTCACAACAACGGCCAGAAACGCGTGTTTTTTGGCCAACGCCTCATTTTTTTGACCCCGGAAGGTCCAGGTATCCAGGAGAAAAGGCCAATGGAAGCTTGGGACTGTCTTCGGGGCTTGCCTGAATTCCAGCGCCTTGCAGGTGACTTTGGAGGTGAATGGCGAGGCGAAATGCTCCAAGACGGAGGTGGTGATGAACTTGCGGGCAAGCGGCGACATTGACTCCCTGGACACCTTGATTGAGGAGGGATGGGAGTGATGTGTTGACCAAACCACTGTTTTTTTTTTTTTTTTTTTTTTTCCGTTTTTTTTTCCCCTTTTTTTTTTTCTCCGGATTTGAACTTGTTCAGAACTAGGGGTGGGCGTTGAGTTTTTGTTCGAGACGCGCCTTAACAGGATGCCTGGAAGTGAGTACATGATTGGAGAGACAAGAATGGACCCATCTAAAAGAGAAACGGTGTCTTTTTCTAAGGGTTGATTCCCCATTCTTTCCATCCATCGTTCTTGTCGAAAGCCGGCCGTTTCCTTTCGTTTCCGGAGGTTTTCTAGAAAGAAGGATCCCTGGAAAGAATCGGGAGGGTAGCACTAGACTTTTGGATTCCCCACATTTAAAGGTGCCCCTGTGCAGGAGGACAAGCTGGAAGTGGTGGATGCTGAGGACAAATCCTCCAGGAAGGAGGTTGACAAGATCGGCCTGGAAGTGACTGGAGACAACGTGCTGGCCACCTTGTATGGCTCTGACATTTGTGCTCACGTGGACTTCCTCAAGTTAGAGTTCCCCAGTGGCTCAAAGATCAAGATCCTGAAGGACTGTACCCACACCACGACCACGACCACGACAACTACAACAGTGCCCCAGTCCAGATACCAACGTTTTCCTTCTTGTTGGATCGGATTTCACAAAGCTCCCTTTTCTGCGGGGAAAACGGCGCAAGCGAGGTAGTCACAACCACAAGTACCACGACGCAGGCTGATGTGTGTACAGACCTCACCCAGGGCTTGACCTTGACGGTAGAAACCACGGCGTTCTGTGCGACTGGAAGCGACCATGTAGCTTGGACGCAGTTTCGCCACGGCTTTGGCTTGTTGCTGTTGGGTCTTCCTACAATCAAGGATGACCTTCTGGACAGTACGGGTTTTTCAACGTGTCAATGGGCTGTGGCCAGGGCCACACATCGATGATTCCTGTGCCTGTTTATGAAGACCTTAGATTCCTTAGATCAGGGCTGGATAGGATGCAGCTGCTATGTTTAATGAAATCTTCTATGTGATGTTGTTGCTTGTGTTCGAGTCCTTTCGCTGCTTCCTTCAGTGTTTCTGATCACCGTCTCAGGTTGCGGTCATGTGGTCAAGCGGCACATTAACCCTGGGTCATAGGCTGTGGGTCAAAACCAATGGTACCCATTTGGGGTAGGTGCACCACCCATTTTAGTCTATTTTAGTGGGGATTGGGATGTTCACTGGGGGTACGGGCTTTTGACCCATGGCCATATGTGACGCTTTTTATTCTGCTTTCCTACAGTGGGATTGTTTTGGTCAGAGCTCTAGATCGGGTATCCCTTAGATCGGGAGGTTTTGATTGGGGATGACTTGGTGGCTCCCAGCCATCCGGTTCCTTAGCTTTTGTTAGCCAATTTAGTGTTTAGTAATCGTTTCCATTTCACCCACTCAAAGTGAGTCTTTCTTAGCAGGGATCCGAAAACGGGCAGCCCAGTCGAGCCATGGCCGGTGGGGACTTTTCTCCACTTTCGAGGCGGCTGTGGTTCAAAGATTGGTACCCAAAATGGAACCCTGGCAAGTAGAAGTAAGGACTAAAACCTGCGGGTTTTTTTGGTGGTTGAATTTTGACGCATACCCATTTACCCTTCAGGATGTTCATCTTCGAAATTGGGTCAACCATTCTTTTAATGGGGATTGAACCCAGGTGACGATGAAGCTCCGCGGCAGCGATCCCTTGGAGGCGGACGTAGAGGATGAGGACCTGGAGATCGTGAACGCCAACAAGTCCAGCGTGCGAGAGGCACAAAGCAGCGAGAGCGCCGCGTTTTTGTGTGGTTTGTTTTTCCCCGCACGGTGAATTTGCGTTCCAAAACAAACAACTCCAAGGGCCCTCAGCCCCTCTTTGGTGCATTTTACCAAGGGATGTTAGGACTTTTGCTTTTTGCCAACGAATGGGTGTTCCATTAAACCACTAAAAGTTCAACTTTTAGCAGGGCTTCGCAGAAAGCAACCGAGTTCTGTAACTTCTTGAGGGCACTTGTTAGAGGTCCCAGGCAAAACCGGACTCACTGACTGGTGTCCTTTGTCTTAAGCGCAGAGGCTGTGGAGCGCATCATCTTTGAGTCCGATGGCAACATCATCACGGCCTGGGGCCATAGGCTTTCGCCATCGGTTCCAGATCCTATCCTTGGGCAGGGTTGTGGGATCACAAGGGGTTTCTCCAACCACTGTGATTCAAGGGAATCCCCCTTAAAAGAACACAATCGTCTTTGGAAAGCCCTTTCTGTTGTATCACAGTGGATTCCATTTCCCACAGCGTGCTTGGGAAATCTCTGTCGAAGGTTTGATCCGTGTGAGACAACCCTACGGGCCAATTTTCTTTGCGCGACCAGATCTCAAAACCCTCTGATGTCTCTGGAATCTATCACTACTAGTCAGGGCGGGTCGCCCTGTAAAATGCGTTTTTTTTCAGATGCCTGGGGCCTGCGTTTTTTTTTGATCTCTGGGGGCTGCGTTTTTCAGATTCCTTTGGGCTGCGTTTTTTTCAGATTTCTTGAACATGCGCATTGCTATGCCAATTGAAACTCGAATTGAACTATGTTTCCATAATGTGTGTTTAACTGTCAGCTAAATTGTAAAGAAATTTGATTGGAAAGAACATACTATGTAAATTATCAATCACAATATAATTCTTATTCAAAACATATATCATGAAACAGAAGTTGTGATTGGATTCATTTCGTATCACATGTTTAAACTCTAAATGAAATGTAATGTTCTATGGGAACGGAATTATTTATAAATTCTAGATGTAAGATGTAATTTCCAGTAGGATCATGATCAGGTATTTCCTTATTGAGTCCTATTTAAATCCTATTCAAAATGAAACTGACTTTTAGAGAGCGGCGGTTGGTGTTTAGTGGTAGTTTCCATTTCACCCACTCAAAGTTAGTCACTTTTAGCGGGGGATCTGAGGGCAGCCCAAGGGAAACGTGTAGAACAACTACGAGTTTGCCAAAGCAGGCCCCATGTCCCCAAGCTTGGACTGCCCAGCCACAGGGCCTGCAACTTGTTTGTTTTGGTCTTTGTTTCTTGTTGTGAAAACGCGAGGTGTTTTCGGTTTTTCTGGAAACCTGTAAAAAAAGCAAGCTCGAGTTTCCAAAAAATGCAAGACCTATGTCCCCATGCTTGGACTCCATAGGGCCTGCATTTTGTTTTGCTATTTTCAGTTTGTTGGTCGGTTTTTGGTGACAAACACAGCACCCAGGAATCTGAGAACGCAGCCCCAAGGGCGTCACATTCTGTTATTTTTGTTTTATCCAGGGGGCCTAACATTAGTACCTGCTGTGTCATTTTGGGGTTTCATCAAAAGGTCCGAAATGCATGGGATGTCCATTTGTGGGACAGCTATTAAAATGATCTTCCCCTAGTATGGGAAAAGTTGCCCATAATCAACACTGGGGGCCGAACGGAATATTGATCCCCTTAACACCACCAGACGGCTGGTTTTTGGGGCCTGACGGCCTGACGGCCTGACGGCCTGACCCTGACGTGCGGCCAAGGCCAAAGTCTACGGCAAGGATATTTGCGCAGAGGCGGGAACGGTTGCGATGTTGAGCGGAAACGGTTGCGATTTTGAGCAGAAACGGTTCTCAGTTCTTGGACGAAGGGTGAATCCCTGAGAAGAATGGCTAAGCTACCGCACCAGCCGCAACCAGTTGAATCAATCCCTGGGATGGGACCTTCGAAGTGGTCGAAATCCTTGTTTTGGGGCCAGAAAAAAGGCAACGAGGGCAACAGGGCGAAACCAAAATGGGTTGGTGAAACCCACACCGCTTTTGGGCACGGTAAGCACAGCGCATTTGTAGACATACCATGACATACCTGCACTCACGCACATGCAATTCTCGCACCCACGTTGTGGACAACACATATGTTGAGCCACACCACTTTTGGGCACGGTAGGCACAGCGCATCTGTAGACATACCATGACATACCTGCATGCATGCACGCGCGACTTTTTCGCACCCACGTTGCGGACAACACCTATGTTGAGTCACACCACTTTTGGGCACGGTATGCACAGCGCATTTGTAGACATACCATGACATACCTGCATGCACGCACGCGCAACTCTCGCACCAACATTGTGAACAACACCTATGTCAAGGTGAGTCACACCACTTTTGGGCACGGTAGGCACAGCACATCTGTAGACATACAGTACCATGACATACCTGCACACACACGCATGCGCAACTTTTGCACCCACGTTGTGGACAACACCTACGTTGAGTCACACCAACTTTTGGGCATGGTACGCACAGCGCATCTGTAGACATACTATGACATACCTGCACTCAGGCACGTGCAACTCTCGCACCCACGCTGTGGACAACACCTATGTTCAGTCACAACACTTTTGGGCACGGTAGGCACAGCACATCTGTAGACATACCTTGACATACCTGCACTCGCGCAAGCGCAACTCTCGCACCCATGGGTGAAACCCTAAGAATAATTCTGGATAAACCACCGCGCCAGCCGCAACCGGTTGAATCAAACGCGGAAAAACTGACACCTTCAAAAGGGCCCAAAGAAGGCGACGAGGGGAACAGGTCGAAACCAAGATGGTGAAACGCAGACCTCTCTTCGCGTGTCCCACTTTCATGATTGGAATGAGGGAATTGGTGTGTGTAGCTTTTTGAGTTGGTGGCACGGAGGGAAAGGAAGGAGTGACCAATGCCCCGCTTGGCCTGTCAAAGTAGGGTTCAAATCCCGCCATCCAATCCGCCAAGCTGAAATATGAAAACCACGCCCCAAGTTACCAAGCCCTGCAAACCAGCGACTGCGTCAAGGCTTCAATGCTAAATCCCTCCAAATCATCCAGAACAAAACGCCGACTGGGAAGCTGATCCTAGACCAACCTGCTGTGGATGGACCAAATCCTTTTCGCACCATTTTGAACCCAGTGGAAGACATTGTTCGTTGGTACTTCCAGCCAAATCAGCCTTCAGACACCATTGGGTTTCTTCATTTAGGTGGTGCGAACCCGGTTTTTTGTTTTCTTTTTTTCCGCGCCCCTCCAACCAACCCCACGTGTTTGTTTTTTTCTTTCCGGGAAAAAAGAAGAAGAGACGCCCACGTCCTCCCCCAGGTCCTCCCTTCGCCTTGTGCGCCTTGTGCGCCGAGGCGCAGTTCCTGGGCCTCGCCTTTCCCGTGGGCACCTCCCTGCGGGTGGAGCAGAACTGCAAGGCCCAGGCGGGCATTGGGGGGCATCGGGGGGGAGCGGGGGAGCGGGGGAGCGGGGGAGCGGGGGAGCGGGGGAGCGGGGGAGCGGGGGAGCGGGGGAGCGGGGGAGCGGGGGAGCGGGGGGGGGTGCCATGGACGCCGTACCCGAGCTCTTGGCGGCGGAGTCGATGTTGCCACCAACCCTAAAAAAGCAATAGCCTGAAAGAAGGAGGTTGCGAGATAGACCCGAAGTGTGCACCACACAGGAAAGGGGGGGGGGGGGGAACGGGGGCAATGGGGAGAAAAAGGGGCGAAGCGAGGGTTTGTATTTTTTGGCTGGGAAGCGAGCTGAAAGGACGGGGATTTGCACCTGGTTGCGAAGCCAGGGTTTCCCTCGGGTCCATAGTCAAGGTGCCAAAAGGTGAACCTGTCCTTTTTTTTCTGAGTCTTTCAACGGGCAAAGGGACCAAGTTTGTGGTGGTTGCTTTTGTGTTCCACCCTTAGCCTCAAAAGGCATATATCCCCACATGGGTTTGTCTCATGGAACAACCTCAAAGTTGGTGGTGCTCCTGTTGTTCCCCTTCAAGACCCACCCCAAAAAGAAAGCTCTTGGATGCCAGTCTGATCAGGTTTTGAGTTGAACCTTTTCTCACCAGGGTTACTCCAAACCCCAAAAAGCACCAACCCTCTAGACCACAAAGAATGGAACCGGTTTCGCTTCCTTGTGGTTCCTTCGTTCAGGTGCCAAGTGCCAAGCGCATTTTTGCGCTGGTCGAATGGCACTGGGCGACCCGAAGGGCCAATCTGGGGTTCGAGGGAGCAGTTCGATAAGAGTTTTGTGCTATGCGGCCGCTAGTACGCCCTGTGCTCTACTAGGTCCCCCAGTAGTGCCCTTTTACTGTTTCTTTTTTGGGGGTTTGGGTTCCACTACTAAAATAGACAACAGAAAAAGGGTACCCTTAGTCTAACCTTTCCACTGGAGGACCTAGTTAGGTAAGGATGAACAAATCCATTCAAATTCCTAATGGTTACTGGCTTGCCCAGCGCTGGGACAGCGCCATTATACAAAGAGTACCCCTGTTTACCCCCGGGCCCGGCAGTCCCATCTTCGCTTTGCTACAGGCGACCACCACCACGACCACCACACAGGCAGTCTGCAAGGACCTGACCAAAAGCTCTAAGCTGCAGGCGAGGTTTTGCAAATTTAAGGGAAGCCAGCAGCAAACTCCGCCGGTTTTTTGAAAACGGCGCAGACCAAAACATTTTCAGGCGGGTTTCTTAATTCCACTTCATGTGAGAGGAGGGACGTAGTTTCTTGATTGCTATTGGGTTGGATCTTTAGACCTTAACTTTTTGGGAGTTCAATTGGTTGTCCATTAAGCCCACAAAAAAATAAACTTTTTGCAGAGGGGTCAACAGCATCCAAGGTTTTGTTCCACCACTTACTCCGCTCGGGCGCTGTTTTCGGCCCAGGTGGATGAGTGGTCCGGATGTCAGGACGGCGCGGATTACGCGGTCCTGGACCTTCAGGGCAGCATTCCGCTGGACATCGTGATGGATGAGGGCACCCTCGCCATGGTGAAAACGGCCAAGAGACAGGTGCAAGCCGAGCTGGTTTCTTTTTCAGCTGTGTTCAGCGGGCTCAGGTCGAAACCAGGGACTCCACACCATGGCTTCTGCGGGAGCAGCTGACAAAAGTACTGGTAGTGCCCTAAACTCCAGGCCCCCTTTGGTACTTGCAAACGCGAGCCAACGTTTCACCCCCGGTGCACTTCCCCGCAAATCCTTTTGACTAGGGTTTCTCGCCATTTGCCCCAAGGGTCTAGTGAAGCTCCTATTCGGATCCTGGGTTGGGAACTCCCAAGTGAGCCATCAAACCCGGGTAGATGAAGGGTAAGGGACAATCCCAGCCCTATGTTTCTGGGTATTCCCACTACTCCAAATACGCTCTTTTTCCAGGGTATCATGTTGACCCTCTACTAAAAAAGGAGGTATTTACCATTACAAAAAGAAACAAGGTTGTCCCAAACATGCCCTGAAAAAGCGGGTGTTTTAAGTAGGGGGTTGACTAGTAGGGGGTTGACTCTGTCTCAAGTAATTCGTCCACGTGAGGTGCATCAGCTCCTGAGCAAGTTGGTCCTGGAGGACGACGGTGATGGATCCGTCACCGCGAAGTTGCACGCCTCAGACATCTGCACGGGCCTAAGGGGGATCCTGGTTTGGATCGTTTTCCTTTGGTTGGTTGTAGGGAAGCCACCAGGACGCCACCCGTTTTTAGCTGCCAGGGTTGAAACGGTCGAGGTCGAGTGGAGCGACCGTTTCCGCTGAAAGCTGGGGGCATGCAGGGGTCTGATATGGGCACCGGAGTGGTTTCGGAGTGGGCGATTTCGGGGTCCGGAAGGGTCCTGGGCCGCTGATGTTGCTTTTACATCCCGGATTCGTCCAGTTACCGGAACAAAGGAAGCAAGGGAAAACCAATTTGAATCCAAGGCTAGAAAAGAGTAACCACCCAAGAAGCAAGGGCTGGTGAGTGTCCAAGTGGACTTGGCTGAGTTGTCCATTTACCATTTGTGTGGGGGAAGAGGATCTTTGGGGTATCAAGTGCTTGCAGGCAAGCCACTTAGGTGGGGAGTCATGTTCAAAACTCGGAAAGTTGATGTGTCATTTTGAGGTTGCCCCTTTGTTTTGGTTTTCAAGGGAGATTGAAAGGACAACCACCATTTGTTTGTTTTTGCGGGAACCTCGAGCCACCCAAATGGCATCGAGCTAAGCTCATGCCAATGGGTAAGAAGATCATGTTCCTGATTCGAAGGTGACCGGCTCGCATACCTGAAGGTTCTCTTCAACGAATCCACCCAGGCGGCACCGGTGTTTTGTTTCTTCTCTGTCTTTTTCTTTTCGGATTTGGGCATGTATTTGTTTGTTGCTGGACCCCCCCCCCCCCCAGTGGTGTCATTTGGTGTTTGTTTAGAAACCACAGAAAGAGTTTGTTTTTTCAGAGTTGGCAATTACCCCTGTTTTGTTAGGACTTAAAGGGACACTACAAGACCACCCGCCATGTTACTGGGGTCTGACCCCCTTGACCGGGATGAAGCCCTCATGCTATTTCCAGCAAGCCTGGTGCACTCTAGGCATAGCCTTGCAAAGGGGGCAATCGCCTGGCAAAAATGCAACTGGTTACCTACTATAAGTGGCAACTGGGAGCAACTGGGAAGGTACAAAGGGAGACTCCATCCACGGTAACACCTAAGGGTCCCCGGGCAAGCCGCGGCAAGGTGGAGACTCGAAGGATGGTGTAAATCGGAGGCCCCGGTTTTCTGTTCGTTGGACATTTAGAAGGCGGAAGTTCGTAGCTAATCCAACTAAATGGGAAAGGTGATGGGTAAGGGGCAGCTCCTGTTGGTCACCTTTCCCCAACAGTGTGGTTCTTAATGTTGACCCCGGATCAAGAACCCGCTGCCTATTAATAGGAGTGTCTCTCCAAAAGATGAATCTCCACAACCCAGCGACACCCCCTGTTGAGAAACTGGGGTTGATTAATCAGGGGTTCCCGTTCATCAGCCTCTGCTGTCCACTGTGTTCTTTCTGCGGCCTGGTGTGCCCGTCCGCCGAAAAGCGGAAAGCGGTTGGTGCTCGCCCGGGTTTCTACTTGCCGCGTTTATGCGCAGGTCAGCTTCGAGAGCAATTGCGTCTACGGCACCACCACCACCACCACCACCACCACCACCACCACGGCAGGCGTTGTGGTGACCAGTTCCACTGCCGCGGGATGCACCAACCTGACGGCAGCGGTTCAGTTGGTGGTGGAGAACCCGCCTGCTTGCGCGGCTGGGGATGACCATGCCACTCAGCCCAAGTATCCGGATTTATTGGCTAGGTCCCCCAGGTAGTGCCCTTTCACCCTTTTCTGGGGGAGGGTTCCCCTACTAAAATAGACTACACAAAAAAAGGTACCCTTATTCTAACCCTCTACTGGAGGACCTAGTTGGGGTTGATCAAACAAGTGCGAAATACATGGGATGAATCTGGGGGAAAACCAGTAAAAAGATGACTTTCACCACTACATGGGAAAAGTTACGCATGGTCATTTGAGGGCCATGAATATTGATCAACCTCCCTTAACTTTGCGACGCTTGGGTTGGGGGTGGGTGAGTTCCCTTCCAAAGCGATCCACATACAAACCGATGACATCAATCAGCCAAAAGCCAGTTTCAGCTGAAAACCCAAGCGACCCATGCCCAAAATCCCCGCAAAATGGATGCGAATCGATCCTCTGCCAGACCTAAGATTGCCAAGTCCATTTACTCGAGTAAAGCCAGCTTCAGCTGAAAACATAAGCGACCCATGCCCGAAATCCGCGCAAAATTGGTTCCGCGATTTTCCGCTTTCTGAGGCCAAGCTGGAGCTGAAGGGAAGTCTGGGCGGAACGTTTTCGCAGGAGGACCTGGAGCTGGTGAATCTCCAGAGCAGCGACGCCCATCAGAAGCTCAGCAAAGCGGAGTGCAGCGCTTCGGGAGACACCACCACGGTGAAGCTCTTTGCCTCCGGGATCTGCGGCTTGGCTTCCGTGGGAAACAAAGATGTGGGATGCCTCTCTAGGTCCCCCAGCGCCCTTCTCTCCCCTTTTTTGGTTGGGAGGGTTCCCCTACTAAGATAGACTACCGCAAAAAAAAACAATGGTACCCTTTTTCCAACCTCTCTACAGGAGGACCTAGCTCTTGAAACCAAAGCTTTCTTACGGTCTTTTCAGTCGCTTTGCCCAAAACATGTCAAAGTTGATCGACCGTCCTGAAGGTGTTCTGGCGTTTTCGGCCACCTGTCTCAGGCTCGCGCGTGAGCTACCTCTCGGCCTTGTTCCCAGAGAATTCCCGAATTGGGTTCCAGCATGGCTGCAGCAAAGCTCGTGCCAGTGTTCCCTCCAGCCAGCCAGCAACAGCGCCATCCACAAAGCCTGCAAGTGCTCCAGCATCCGTTCCTGCTAGTGCTCCCGCATCGGTGCCTGCAAGCACCCCAGCTGTGACTCCCAGCAGTGTGCCAACGACCAGCCCAGCGGTGTCACCCACAGGGGTGCCAGCAGCTGTGCCCTCCAAGGTGCCAGCTGCAACCCCAACAAGCGTGCCATCCAGCACGCCTGCATCGGTTCCCACAGCAGCACCAGCCGCGGTTCCCACAGCAGTGCCAGCAGCTGTGCCCACTGTGGTTCCAGCCAGCAGCCCTGTGGAGTCCACAACTGCAGCACCGGCGGCAGTTCCAGCAACAGCGCCAGCGGCCGTTCCAGCGACAGCACCGACCACAAAGCCTGCTAGTGCTCCAGCATCGGTGCCTGCAAGCACCCCAGCTGTGACTCCCAGCAGTGTGCCAACGACCAGCCCAGCGATGTCACCCACAGGGGTGCCAGCAGCTGTGCCCTCCACGGTGCCAGCTGCAACCCCAACAAGCGTGCCATCCAGCACGCCTGCATCGGTTCCCACAGCAGCACCAGCCGCGGTTCCCACAGCAGTGCCAGCAGGTGTGCCCACTGTGGTTCCAGCCAGCAGCCCTGTGGAGTCCACAACTGCAGCACCGGCGGCAGTTCCAGCAACAGCGCCAGCGGCCGTTCCAGCGGCAGCACCGACCACAAAGCCTGCTAGTGCTCCAGCATCGGTGCCTGCAAGCACCCCAGCTGTGACTCCCAGCAGTGTGCCAACGACCAGCCCAGCGGTGTCACCCACAGGGGTGCCAGCAGCTGTGCCCTCCAAGGTGCCAGCTGCAACCCCAACAAGCGTGCCATCCAGCACGCCTGCATCGGTTCCCACAGCAGCACCAGCCGCGGTTCCCACAGCAGTGCCAGCAGCTGTGCCCACTGTGGTTCCAGCCAGCAGCCCTGTGGAGTCCACAACTGCAGCACCGGCGGCAGTTCCAGCAACAGCGCCAGCGGCCGTTCCAGCGACAGCACCGACCACAAAGCCTGCTAGTGCTCCAGCACCGGTGCCTGCAAGCACCCCAGCTGTGACTCCCAGCAGTGTGCCAGCGGCCAGCCCAGTGGTGTCACCTGCAGGAGTGCCATCATCGGTGCCCTCCACGGTGCCAGGTGTTACTCCAACAAGCGTGCCTTCCAGCACACCTGCATTGGCTCCTACGGCAGCACCAGTCGCGGTTCCCACAGCAGCGCCAGCAGTTGTGCCCACTGTGGTTCCGGCAAGCAGCCCTGTGGCTTCCACAACTGCAGCACCGGCGGCAGTTCCAGCAACAGCGCCAGCGGCCGTTCCAGCGACAGCACCGACCACAAAGCCTGCTAGTGCTCCAGCATCGGTGCCTGCAAGCACCCCAGCTGTGACTCCCAGCAGTGTGCCAACGACCAGCCCAGTGGTGTCACCTTCAGGGGTGCCATCATCGGTGCCTTCCATGGTGCCAGCTGTCACCCCAACAAGCGTGCCATCCAGCACACCCGCCTTGGCTCCCACAGCAGCACCAGCCGCGGTTCCCACAGCAGTGCCAGCAGCTGTGCCCACTGTGGTTCCAGCCAGCAGCCCTGCGGCGTCCACAACTGCAGCACCGGCGGCAGTTCCAGCAACAGCACCAGCGGCCGTGCCAGCAACAGCGCCGACCACAAAGCCTGCTAGTGCTCCGGCATCGGTGCCTGCAAGCACCCCAGCTGTGACTCCCAGCAGTGTGCCAGCGGCCAGCCCAGTGGTGTCACCCACAGGGGTGCCATCATCGGTGCCCTCCACGGTGCCAGCTGTAACCCCAACAAGCGTGCCATTCAGCACACCTGCATGGGTTCCTGCGGCAGCACCAGCTGCAGTTCCCGCAGCAGCGCCAGCAGTTGTGCCCACTGTGGTTCCAGCCAGCAGCCCTGTGGCTTCCACAACTGCAGCACCGGCGGCAGTTCCAGCAACAGCGCCAGCGGCCGTGCCAGCAACAGCTCCGACCACAAAGCCTGCTAGTGCTCCGGCATCGGTGCCTGCAAGCACCCCAGCTGTGACTCCCAGTAGTGTGCCAGCGGCCAGCCCAGTGGTGTCACCCACAGGGGTGCCATCATCGGTGCCCTCCACGGTGCCAGCTGTTACTCCAACAAGCGTGCCATCCAGCACACCCGCGTTGGCTCCCACAGCAGCACCAGCTGCGGTTCCCACAGCAGTGCCAGCAGTTGTACCCACTGTGGCTCCAGCCAGCAGCCCGGTATTGTCCACAACTGCAGCACCGGCAGCAGTGCCAGCAGCAGTTCCGACCACAATGCCTGCTAGCACTCCCGCATCGGTGCCTGCCAGTGCTCCAACATCAGTGCCTGCAAGCATCCGAGCTGTGACTCCTGGCAGTGTGCCAGCGGCCAGCCCAGTGGTGTCACCTTCAGGGGTGCCATCATCGGTGCCTTCCATGGTGCCAGCTGTCACCCCAACAAGCGTGCCATCCAGCACACCCGCCTTGGCTCCCACAGCAGCACCAGCCGCGGTTCCCACAGCAGTGCCAGCAGCTGTGCCCACTGTGGTTCCAGCCAGCAGCCCTGCGGCGTCCATAACTGCAGCACCGGCGGCAGTTCCAGCAACAGCACCAGCGGCCGTGCCAGCAACAGCGCCGACCACAAAGCCTGCTAGTGCTCCAGCATCAGTGCCTGCAAGCACCCCAGCTGTGACTCCCAGCAGTGTGCCAGCGGCCAGCCCAGTGGTGTCACCTGCAGGAGTGCCATCATCGGTGCCCTCCACGGTGCCAGGTGTTACTCCAACAAGCGTGCCTTCCAGCACACCTGCATTGGCTCCGACGGCAGTTCCCACAGCAGCGCCCGCAGTTGTGCCCACTGTGGTTCCAGCCAGCAGCCCTGCGGCTTCCACAACTGCAGCACCGGCGGCAGTTCCAGCAACAGCGCCAGCGGCCGTTCCATCGACAGCACCGACCACAAAGCCTGCTAGTGCTCCGGCATCGGTGCCTGCAAGCACCCCAGCTGTGACTCCCAGCAGTGTCCCAGCGGCCAGCCCAGTGGTGTCACCCACAGGGGTGCCATCATCGGTGCCCTCCACAGTGCCAGCTGTCACTCCAACAAGCGTGCCATCCAGCACACCTGCATTGGCTCCTACGGCAGCACCAGCCGCGGTTCCCACAGCAGCGCCAGTTGTGCCCACTGTGGCTCCAGCCAGCAGCCCGGTAACGTCCACAACTGCAGCACCGGCAGCAGTGCCAGCAGCAGCACCAGCGGCCGTGCCAGCAACAGCGCCGACCACAAAGCCTGCTAGCACTCCCGCATCGGTGCCTGCCAGTGCTCCAACATCAGTGCCTGCAAGCATCCGAGCTGTGACTCCTGGCAGTGTGCCAGCGGCCAGCCCAGTGGTGTCACCTTCAGGGGTGCCATCATCGGTGCCTTCCATGGTGCCAGCTGTCACCCCAACAAGCGTGCCATCCAGCACACCCGCCTTGGCTCCCACAGCAGCACCAGCCGCGGTTCCCACAGCAGTGCCAGCAGCTGTGCCCACTGTGGTTCCAGCCAGCAGCCCTGCGGCGTCCACAACTGCAGCACCGGCGGCAGTTCCAGCAACAGCACCAGCGGCCGTGCCAGCAACAGCGCCGACCACAAAGCCTGCTAGTGCTCCGGCATCGGTGCCTGCAAGCACCCCAGCTGTGACTCCCAGCAGTGTGCCAGCGGCCAGCCCAGTGGTGTCACCCACAGGGGTGCCATCATCGGTGCCCTCCACGGTGCCAGCTGTAACCCCAACAAGCGTGCCATCCAGCACACCTGCAAGGGTTCCTGCGGCAGCACCAGCTGCAGTTCCCGCAGCAGCGCCAGCAGTTGTGCCCACTGTGGTTCCAGCCAGCAGCCCTGTGGCTTCCACAACTGCAGCACCGGCAGCAGTTCCAGCAACAGCGCCAGCGGCCGTTCCAGCGACAGCACCGACCACAAAGCCTGCTAGTGCTCCAGCATCGGTGCCTGCAAGCACCCCAGCTGTGACTCCCAGCAGTGTGCCAACGACCAGCCCAGTGGTGTCACCTTCAGGGGTGCCATCATCGGTGCCTTCCATGGTGCCAGCTGTCACCCCAACAAGCGTGCCATCCAGCACACCCGCCTTGGCTCCCACAGCAGCACCAGCCGCGGTTCCCACAGCAGTGCCAGCAGCTGTGCCCACTGTGGTTCCAGCCAGCAGCCCCGCGGCGTCCACAACTGCAGCACCGGCGGCAGTTCCAGCAACAGCACCAGCGGCCGTGCCAGCAACAGCGCCGACCACAAAGCCTGCTAGTGCTCCGGCATCGGTGCCTGCAAGCACCCCAGCTGTGACTCCCAGCAGTGTGCCAGCGGCCAGCCCAGTGGTGTCACCCACAGGGGTGCCATCATCGGTGCCCTCCACGGTGCCAGCTGTAACCCCAACAAGCGTGCCATTCAGCACACCTGCATGGGTTCCTGCGGCAGCACCAGCTGCAGTTCCCGCAGCAGCGCCAGCAGTTGTGCCCACTGTGGTTCCAGCCAGCAGCCCTGTGGCTTCCACAACTGCAGCACCGGCGGCAGTTCCAGCAACAGCGCCAGCGGCCGTGCCAGCAACAGCTCCGACCACAAAGCCTGCTAGTGCTCCGGCATCGGTGCCTGCAAGCACCCCAGCTGTTACTCCCAGTAGTGTGCCAGCGGCCAGCCCAGTGGTGTCACCCACAGGGGTGCCATCATCGGTGCCCTCCACGGTGCCAGCTGTTACTCCAACAAGCGTGCCATCCAGCACACCCGCGTTGGCTCCCACAGCAGCACCAGCTGCGGTTCCCA